TCCTCTTCCCACCGTGGGGAAGTTGTATCCAGCTCTCCCCATTCCCTACGGTGGGAAGAGGATCCGCTGGTGGTGCCTGGAGCTGGTTTGGAGGGGGGATCCCAGTGAGGCTCAGAGCAGCTTCCCGGCTCCCGGTTATCCATGTTTTGCCAAGGGCGCTCCAGGGGAGGTTTCTCGACGGGCTTCCCGTTCCTGGAGAATATTTTAGGGAGGGAGAGCGACGGGACAGGGCGGGGTGAGGATGTGGATGCGGGTTCCCTGGATCTGGGGTTCCGTGGATCTTCCCCCCGTGCTGGGATGGAAGGGAATGTTGGGAATGTCAGGCCCGGAGAAGGGGGGATCCGGCGAGCCTCCGGAATCCCGTTTTTGGGGAGAACGGATCCAAGGAACGCCGAGCCCTCCGAGCGGAGACGCCAAAGGTTTTCCAAAGGCGACTTCTCCTCTCCTTTGCAGGGATCACGGGATGCTCTCCCCGCCGGAGAACCCCGGCTCCGGCATGTCCCTGCCGCGCTCCGGCCCCGCCCTGACCCCCAACGTCTCTCCGGGGCCGGGAATGGCGCTGCCTCCTCCTCCTCCCTCCGTCCCCAATTCCAACGGCACCATGGTGACCGGCAACGCCGGCCAACCCTCCGGCTACGGATGTTCTCCCGGGAGCCAGCTGGGAGCCGCCGCCGGCGTCGCCGCCTTAAGCCAGAGCCAGGGTGGCAACCACGCCCTGCCCCTCGCCGGCTCGCCCATGGGCAGCCCCGGCATCGCCCCCCCGCCGCCGCCGCCGCAATTCCTGTCCCCGCGCCACCGCCTCAGCCCCGGCCTGGTGCCGCGCTCCCGAGGGCCCGGCAACCCCTTCTCCCCCGCCGTGCCCTCCATGCACTCGCCCGTGGGCATGGCCGGCGGCGGGAATGCCGGCGCCGGCGGGAACGCTCGCCCGTTCCCCGGCGGCGCTCCCGTGCCGGGGCTGCCGGAAGGGCCGGGAACGCCGGTGGGATACTCCACGCCGCCGCCGCCGCCGCCGGTGCTGAGGCAGCTGAGCGGCTCTCAGAGCTCTCCCGGCCGCCTCGCCGGCAAATCCGACTCCAAGGACAGCAAGGAGATCGCCTCCATCCTCAGCGAGATGATCCAGGCGGACGGCGGCGCCGGCAGCGGCGGCGCCGGCGGCGGGGAGGGCAAAGCGCTGGATTCGGGAATGCTGCACGCCGACGGCGACTCCAAGTGCTCGCAGGCCACCAGCCACAAGCTGGTGCAGCTCCTGGCCAGCACGGCGGAGCAGCAGCTCCGGCACGCCGCCGACGCCGACACCAGCTGCAAGGAATCCTTGGTGACACTGGGAACTGGGAGCGCCGCCGGCACCGGCGGCACCGGCGGCACCGGCACCTGCCCGTCCTCCCACAGCTCCCTGACGGAGCGGCACAAGATCCTGCACCGGCTGCTCCAGGAGGGAAGCCCGTCCGACCTCACCACGCTGGCCATGGAGCACGAGAAGAAGGAGAGCGCTCCCAGCGCCGCTCCGGCACCGGCGGCGGCTCCGGCGGCGGCTCCGGCGGCGGAGGCGGAGGCGCTGAAGAAGAAGGACGTGAAGGACCACCAGCTGCTGAGGTACCTCCTGGACAAGGACGAGAAGGAGCTGGGGGCGGCGCCGGCGCTCAGCCTGGACGACGTGAAGGTGAAGGTGGAGAAGGCGGAGCCGGCGGTGGATCCGTGTCACCCCGCGCCGGCCGCCGTTCCCAAGGCTCCGGCGGCGGCCGAGGAGGTCAAGATGGAGACGCAGGGGCAGGTGAGCGGGATGGAGGGGTGAGGGTCGGGGGTTTTGGGGGGGGGGTTCCGTGGGATCTGGGGGTGTGGGAGATGTCCCAGGGATTCTGTGGATTCCTGGTGTCGCCTCCTCCAGTGGCGATTCCAACTCTTCCGGTGCTGATTCCAACTCCTCCAATGCTGATTCCACCTTCTCCAGTGGTAGTTCCATCTTTTCCAGCAGTGGTTTCACTTCTTCCAGTGCTGGTTCCACCTTTTCCAGTGCTGGTCCCAGCTCCTCTAGTGCTGATTCCACCTCCTCCAGTGCTGATTCCAACTCTTCCGGTGCTGATTCCACCTCCTTCAGTGCTGGTTCCACCTTCTCCAGTGGTGATCCGACTTTTCCGGCACTGGTTCCACCTTCTCCAGTG